TTTTGCCAACAATGGTCAATAGAGTTCATATCTACCTTCGAGATATTGAGATATTGAGCTGTTTCCTAGAGATTACGCGCAGTGTTCTCGAGAGGTGTTGAATGAAAGCACTCTCTCAGAACTCCAGTGGCAGTACAGCATCCATCAATGGTTTGATGATGTGACTTGTTGTCAGATTGGGGATCTCCCGATGGATTCGCTCTTTAGTACAATTTCGACGGCCTTCCACGGACTAGCTCGATTGGCAGGTGGTTTTTGAATGCTGTCCTTTTGAGAGCCGATCAATTACTTTTCTGGCGATGGGTTATTGTTCCCTGGGTTACGGATGCCATTTCCCTTGTAAGGAGAAGGGATGCTTGCAAGATTCAATAGTTAATCTAAGGAGCGACAGCGATTTTCTTAGCTACAGCCGTCTGAGTGATCATTCATTGAGCTTTCGTCATTTATTCACGAAGGATTCGTGTTTATCTCTCTTCATTCTAGGGTGCCTTGCGTACATGCGACGGCGTTGATTATGTTATTGCTGTGTGAGGCGAATCGATCGCTGTGCTGCTTCAATGATGACAGCTTACTAAGGCGTCTGTCGTTTCGCAAGTGGCAGCAATTGCAGAGGGTTTGAATCAGGGACCGAGGGAAGGGTTGAGAGAACTGAAAGTAGAAGTTGTGTTAGCAGTTTTGCAGGAAGCAGCTATATCGTTGCCTGAGCAGAAGGCTTTCGTAGGAGCTGCTCAACATTGGCTGCGACCACCATGAATCATAATACAGTACCCAAATTTGACCCTGAGCCTACACACCCCTTAGAAGCGCAACAAGGTTTGCGTGTTTTATCTCTGGACTATACCTTCAGGTGGTTGCGTACCGCTTTCGTGCCCCCGGAATGCACGCCCTAGTGCAACTCTCCGTCTCGGGAACGGTAAACCTACCGCACCCTGTGGTCTGATCGAGTGTTTCAAGTTCGTTTATATAACCCAGGGCGGGCCTGTAATTCTAGAAGAGCCCTCTTTGGTGGCTGCATTTAGCGGATAACACCACTATATTTACTCTATCCGCGTGTCCTTTTCTCACATTACGTTTTCCCTATGAAACCTTATATCAGCGTGAAAAGGATACCGATCATTGGAGGACTACACTCAGGCGAGAAGACCCATCAGTGTGTGGGAAGAAAGGGTTTTGGGGTGGTATCAAGTACTGTTTTGCCATAACTGCCCAAAATAGTAAGGCTTCATGCAGCTTTAACCGAACACTTCCCCGTTTGAAAGCCTAGTCGTAGGCAGCTTGTTTGGATGAGTGCTATTCTACCGGACTAGTCATGCGTGCACTGGTTGACTCTGTAATCAGAACGGAAACGAATTTTGAATGGAATTTCAATGTGTTTGTGGTGGCACTGGTGAGGGCGGTGGTCTCGTGTCGCAGCTTTTGCCAACAACTGCCAATAAGGTTCGCATCTTCCTTTGAGAGATTGAGATATTGAGCTGTGTCCTAGAGATTACGCAGTGTTTTTGAGAGGTGTTGAATGAAAGCACTTTCTCAGCACTCCAGTAGGCAGTACAGCATCCATCAATGGTTTGATGATGTGACTTGTTGTCAGATTGGGGATCTCCCGATGGATTCGCTCTAGTACAATTTCGACGGCCTTCCACGGACTAGCTCGATTGGCACGTGGTTGGAAATGCTGTCCTTTTGAGAGCCGATCGATTACTTTTCTGACGATGGGTTATTGTTCCCTGGGTTACGGATGCCCAATTTCTCTTGAAATGGAGAAGGGATGCTTGCAAGATTCAATAGTTAATCTAAGGAGCGACAGCGATTTTCATAGCTACAGCCATCTGAGTGATCATTCATTGAGCTTCGTCATTTATTCACGAAGGATTCGTGTCGCACGACATCAGATACTGCACTTTTGATGGCTTTGAAAATATTAGTACTGCCTTAATATAGTCTAGGTAGCGTCTGGAGAGGTTGGTAAGACTAGTGCTGACTTAAATTGGAAAGAGATTTTGCTTCAATAACTTCCCGGAATAAGTTGTCAAGAGTACGTCGGTAGAGATGCCTGAGAGAGAAGAAATGGCTACTGAAATGTGGAGGAATAGCGGACTCTGGCAAGGGGTAAAGGTCAGGGTTAGGATGGTAACTTAGC